CGCCCTTGCCGCCGGAACCTCCAGCTGCTGCCCGGGCACTCTCGAGCACCTCCGAAGCTTTCCGCTGGGCCGCCTGCTCCAGGCAGCTAAGGGAAATGGCGTCCGCCGCCACCAGCGCCAACTGGGCAGTGGGGGAATTCCGCGCTGCGTTCATCTTGGCTAGGAGCTCAGTGTCCCCGCGCACCTGTAGGCCGGTAGGGTGTGGGCCGCCAACAATAGCGTGTGCCAACCGACCAGCGCCAAACCAGGCTGGTGACAACAGATCCGACAACCGTAGCCCTACCCAAGCACATCGGTATGCAGCTAAAACCAATGTACTGACTAGAGCGGCCAATCGACGTCTCGAGTTCTGCCTGCCCGGGTCCCTATTCCGCCCTCCCTGCCGCCCTCACTCCCGCCCCGGGTGGGGTGGGTACCCCACCCCGTACCCCAACCCAAACACCCACCTGTGCCTCATGCGCCATCCTTGGCTGGTTCGACATGAACACCTCCGTAATGAGGGGCTTCCAGATGCGCACCCGCGCGTTGATGAACCAGTTGTTCAACTAGGGAGAGATGAAGGGGGACGGCGGGAGGGAGGGGGTGAAGGGGGAAAGCGAGGTGTTGGGAATAGAGGTGATGACGTGCGTGTGTGTGTGTGTGTGTGTGTGGAGGGGAGGGACCCAATAAAGGCATGGGGGAGTGCAGCTGGGGTGCCCCGGGGGATAGGAATAAAAAATGTGAGACACGTAGTTCTAATTTTGTGGTTTCTGTTGATGAATTGTTCGCTAGGTGCTACGTTACGACGGAGGATGTGGCGCGAAAGGAAACGAATGCGCTTCGGCCCAGCCGAAGTGGAGGCGTTTGGATCCCTTACATTCTGTCCTCAGCATCTTTAAGCCCAGTTAAAAAACAGATCTGAAACTGGATCTGGATCTGGATCTGGATCTGGAGCAACCGGACGGAACCGGTCCGGCTCACTTTTGCAAGGTGCCGCGTGTTTTTCTCCGGGGTTTTCTCCCCTCCTCTGCCCCATCTTTCCTCCCCCTGCCTGTCAGCCGGGTAGCCCTCCCTGGCCTGGTGTGTGTGTGTGTGCGTATGTACGTATGTATGCTGTTACAGGGTGGTTAACTTCGCCAGCGGCCCCCTTTCCCGGGGCAGTCCCTGCTCTCCCCTGCTAGAGGGGCACCCTAATCCGTCACCCCATCCGACTTCAGAATGTATTCGTTGGGTTCGGCAACTCACCACCAGCATCCAACCAAATCTAGCGGATCAACGGCGCATCAACTTAGTTCCTGGTCAGCTCGCAAGTTGATGTTATCACGTCCTACACCGTCCATATGATGGGGGGCCACCTCCCATTTCATCACTCCTCAAACACCCGAGGAGCCGGCAGGCGGATTTGAACCCGGGTCGACTGGGTCGACAATTTTCAAGTCGCTATCCCAATTTGGAAAGCACTCAATCATCGTACGTACGTATGTATGTAGGCGCCGTTAAAAAGCACAGATAGCGGCTCCGGGTACGCGCTGTGCTGTCCTGTACTGTTGTGGTGCCAATTATGTGGGTCACTCGCGTGTGGGCGCGCGCGTGCGTGTGTGTATGTGTTTGCGTGTGCACATGAAGCTTCGCAAGTGTAATACGTAGGCTCCGGAATAAAAGTTTAGATCCCTCGTTCGAACCCCACCTGGAGCAGATCTAGCCCAGTATTTGCGCACAGCACCTCCTTCTCGTCCTCGCTGGGGTACGGATGTACGATATGGTTGAACACCCACAGCTTGAGCGACTGCACAGGGGAGGGGAGAGCCGGCGGTACGGGTCGGGCCTCTCCTGCGGATGCCGTGTGAAGAAGCCAGAAACAGTCACACACACACACACACACACACACACAAACACACAAACACACACACAAACACACACACACAAACACACACACACAAACACACACACACAAACACACACACACAAACACACACACACAAACACACACACACAAACACACACACACACACACACAAACACACACACACAAACACACACACACAAACACATACACACATACAAACACACACATACAAACACACACAAAAACACGCACACACACAAATACACTCCCATCCATCTATACATACTAAGGGTTTGAAACACACACACACATATTTTGTCAAGGGGAAAGCCGGGAGCACCAACCCGGCCATATTTCAGGCGCCCCGCATCTCGGGGGCCGCCGGGCCTCAGAATTGCGGGACGTACACCTTTTATCTCTTTTGGCCCGGGGCTTTTATCTCTTTTGGCCCGGGGCTTTTATCTCTTTTGGCCCGGGGCTGGCCAAGCCATGCATCATCATCAATGCAGTCCAATGTGCCGTACATTACCGTTGAAATGTGATCATCTCTTGGTTGTGCGGTGCATCGCTTCCACAGCGGCCCTAAGGTGGATCTCCCCCGCACATAACATAGCCACACATGCACAAGAGGTCCGTTGATAATCACCTGTACGGCGGCCCGAGGAAGGTTTTCTCGACCCTTCTTGCTTCCAGGGCCGCTGGCTCCGCCTCCGCCTCCGCAACCGCCGCCATGGCCACCGCCGCCGCCGCCACTGCTGGACTTGATGCCCAGGCCTCGGCCGTTGATCATGCGTGATGGAGCCGCCACAGACGTGCCGTACGCCAGCGCTCCGGCAGCGACTCGGCCTTGTAGGGTCGTCCAGTTGCTACCGCCGCCGCCGCCGCCGCCGCCGCCGCTACTGGTAGAGGCACCTCCGAAAGCAAAGGGCTGCATAATATTCTCCGACCCAACTCTTTGCTGCGCGGAATCAGCCGGTTCACCAGGAAAGTGCGACACACCGTACACATCAGGGCCACGTGACGCCATGGGCGATGATGCATGGTCGCCGTACCCATCGTACGGCTGCTGCCTGCCAGGATACGTCAAGGCGCCACCGGCATCTCCACCGCTGACCGTGGCCACGCCCCCGGTCGACCAACGGCCTCCGTACTGCTCACCGTCGATTCCGCTGCTCTGAGCTGGACTTCCGTACGAGTGGTCGTACATCTCATTAGGATCCGGCATCGCCGCCATGTCTGCAGCGTCCAAAGAGAAGGGCAACGGCACAGCCTGCTGCGCCCCGGAGGGCTGCCGTTCCGCCACCGCCATCGCCGCCGCTGGCGGCAGTTGGTGCATGCCTCGGCCGAGTCCACCGAGCGGCTGCTGAGCCATTTGGGCCGTACCTCCAGCTACAGTCCGCGTCTGGCCTCCGACGGCGCCGGCGGCGCCATAGTCCCAGACAGCGCCGTGGTGAGTCCTTAGTTCGCTGGCAGGGGCAGGAGGCCGAAGTGGGTTGCCGTAGTAGAGGGGCGGGGGGCCGGGGGGACCCTCCGCGGGCATTCGTGCCACAACACCTTCAGACGCGGTGCGCTGATAGGGCCCCATCGGGAAGCTGCTGGAGAAAATGGAGCCGCCGTCCGGGAGCTCGTCTCGTCTAACAGATTGTCGTACAAACGAGCCCGAAAGGTGTAGATCTTGTGGCTGCGAGTGCTGTTGCTGTTGTTGTTGTTGTTGTTGTTGTTGCAGAGTCTGGAATTGCTGCTGTGGCTGCTGATGCTGCTGTTGAGGAACGTAGGGAAGGGGCTGGGACAGGAGGTGGGGGTGCTGCTGTTGTTGTTGCTGTGCTTGCGGTAGCATATTTAGATGCGGGTACAAGTGCTGTTGGTGCTGCTGTTGGTGCTGTTGGTGCTGCAGACGGGAATGATGAGGCGTCTGGGGCAGTTGCTGTGGCGATGGCAGTGGTGGTAGCTGCTGTTGGTGTTGGTGTTGGTGTTGGTGTTGCTGCTGTTGGTGTTGGTGTCCCTGGGAAGGGAACTGCTGGTGCAGTGGTGGCGCAGGCTGCTGCCGCCCCTGAGCCTGCAGTGGTGACTGCAGTTGCTGCTGCTGCCGGTTTTGACTGGAGTGCAGGTGATGCTGCCGGTGGGCCTGTTGCTGCTGCTGCTGCAGTGGCTGCGGCTGTCGCTGCGCTTGCTGCTGCTGCTGCTGTTGTTGTTGCTGCTGCTGCTGCTGTTGCTGCTGCTGTTGTTGTTGCTGCTGCTGCTGCTGCTGTTGCTGTTGCTGTTGCTGTTGCTGTTGCTGCTGCTGTTGCTGCTGCTGTTGCTGCTGTTGCTGCTGCTGTTGCTGCTGTTGCTGCTGCTGCTGCTGTTGCTGCTGTTGCTGCTGTTGATGTTGTTGCTGCTGTTGCTGCTGTTGCTGCTGTTGCTGCTGGTGTTGTTGCTGCTGCTGGTGTTGTTGCTGCTGCTGGTGTTGTTGCTGCTGCTGGTGTTGTTGCTGCTGCTGGTGTTGTTGCTGCTGCTGCTGTTGTCGCTGCTGCTGTTGCTGTTGCTGTTGCTGCTGCTGTTGTCGCTGCTGCTGCGGCTGCGGCTGCGGCGGCTGCAATTGCTGCTGCGCGCTTTGCAGCATGTGGACCTGCGGGTTGTGTTGGTGTGAGAAGCTCTGCAACGGGGGTAGTTGTTGAGACTGAGTCTGCTGGTGATTTGGGGACAGCATCTGAAACCGCTGCGGGCCGGCTTGGAATTGGGATTGTGTGTAGACGTCGCTCCCTTGCTGAAGCAATTCAGAGGTGCCCTCGGGGGCCCCTTCCGTACCGGGTTGCACTTGCAACATATGATGATGCTGTTGCTGATGCTGTTGCTGTTGCTGTGGCTGTGGCTGCTGTGGTGGTTGTTGCTGCTGCTGCTGTTGCGGTGGTCGCTGCTCTTGCAGTGGTTGCTGCAATGGTTGTTGTTGGTGAAATTGTTGCTGTTGCTGCCTTTGCTGCGGATTATATGGGTGGTGGTATGGTTGAGCAGAAGGTTGCTGCTTCTGCCAGTCCCGTACATCGGAAGATGACGCCGCAGCGGGCTGATGCAGTTGTCGCTGATGATGTGGATGCGTCCTCAGAGGTACTTGTTGGCTGCTGTACGGCTGCGGAGGCGGCTGTTCACTGCCGTACTGTGCCTGAGCCTGTCTGGCCACGGGTACCTGCTGGGGTTGTGTCAGCGGCGGCGGCGGCGGCGGCGGCGGCGGCTGGGCCGCTGCATGTCGGCCCATTAGGTAGCCGGCAC